TAGACCAAAAAGCTCTATTTTTGTCTCATCAGACCACGTGACCTTCTCCCATTCCTCCTCTGGATCATCCAGATGGTCATTGGCAAACTTCAGACGGGCCTGGACATGCGCTGGCTTGAGCAGGGGGACCTTGCGTGCGCTGCAGGATTTTAATCCATGACGGCGTAGTGTGTTACTAATGGTTTTCTTTGAGACTGTGGTCCCAGCTCTCTTCAGGTCATTGACCAGGTCCTGCCGTGTAGTTCTGGGCTGATCCCTCACCTTCCTCATGATCATTGATGCCCCACGAGGTGAGATCTTGCATGGAGCCCCAGACCAAGGGTGATTGACCGTCATCTTGAACTTCTTCCATTTTCTAATAATTGCGCCAACAGTTGTTGCCTTCTCACCAAGCTGCTTGCCTATTGTCCTGTAGCCCATCCCAGCCTTGTGCAGGTCTACAATTTTATCCCTGATGTCCTTACACAGCTCTCTGGTGTTGGCCATTGTGGAGAGGTTAGAGTCTGTTTGATTGAGTGTGTGGACAGGTGTCTTTTATACAGGTAACGAGTTCAAACAGGTGCAGTTAATACAGGTAATGAGTGGAGAACAGGAGGGCTTCTTAAAGAAAAACTAACAGGTCTGTGAGAGCCGGAATTCTTACTGGTTGTAGGTGATCAAATACTTATGTCATGCAATAAAATGCAAATTAATTACTTAAAAATCATACAATGTGATTTTCTGGATTTTTGTTTTAGATTCCGTCTCTCACAGTTGAAGTGTAACTAGGATAAAAATTACAGACTTCTACATGCTTTGTAAGTAGGAAAACCTGCAAAATCGGCAGTGTATCAAATACTTGTTCTCCCCACTGTATATGCTTCAATGTGTGTGATTCATTTCTATAACAACATATATTTTGTGAGTATGTGTGTAATATTTAGTCAAAGGGTGGATTGATAGAATAATTATTAATGACTAATTATTACACCCTGAAACTGTGTGAAATGTGTTAGAATGTGTGAGTGTAGGACCAGTAAAGACTATGACATTGAGCTACTATTTAGCAATGTGAGTAAGAGTTAGACCAGACAACAAAGGACAAGGAGAACTGTCTACAGACAACTGAGAAACTAAGATAAAGAGGCCTCCCAATTTAGGGAGGAGAGAAACGGTTAGGCTTTTTAAGGAGTATGAGGACGGCGATAACTAAGGAATGCATGTGTGTGTGTGTGTATGTTTGTGTGTGTGTATGCGTGTGTGTGTGTGTATGTATGTGTGTGTGTATGTGTGTGTGTGTGTGTGTGTGTGTGTGTGTGTGTGTGTGTGTGTATGAACTGATGGTCAGGAGAGCAGTTTTAAAGTGGAAAACTACAGCCCGCCTAAAGAGGGGAGGGATTTTTGTAAGACGTGTGAGTATAAAAGATGGACTCTGAAATTGTAATGGCAGAATTCTCAATGAATAAATCTCTGACTATGCAGACCGGGACTCTGTCCGTTTCTTGATTTTGGGAGACGCACAGAGACACTGAAATAGTTTGTTAAATAATTTGCATAACATGACCTCCCTTCAACCTAGCATAAGCACCAGGGAAATGGCTTTTAAGCTTCATCCCATCCCATTAAGCTTTTCCATTTGCAGAATCTTCCCTTTCGGAGCCTGGCTACCACAAAATATTAGCAATCTACCTTTTCCAATGAACCGGGCTAGTTTCACTTCACCGATCTCTTTCTCTACAGCATTGGTTAGTCGGATACGGTGTAAATGAGGCCCTATGGTCTCATCAAACACCATCACCACTTTCCACTCCGACACATTATTACTCTTGCTTCCAACCTTGGCCCTCTTTATGCATTCTTTACGAGACACTCCACTGCTATCATTATCATGATCTCTCTTCTTCCTATATATTTCCACTACAGACCATTCAGGTCCATGACCCTCATCCTCCCACTCCATACCATCAGAACTGACACCCATATTGTTCGCATTCCAGCACAGCTGTTGCTTCGCAAACCTTTTCTCCATTTCCTCCATTTCACGGCCTCCCACGGCCTCTCTATTGATCTATTCCTCTTATTTAGCTCTGTGTTTCCACCTACTGTTCCTGAGTGGGAGTTCCATAGCCGCGGGATTTTGTTTTGTTTATCTTTCACAAAATTAGTGGATTAGGCTGTATGTATGAGCAGGGGAAAAATACTCCTCAGTTAAAGTCCCGCAATTAGAGCTAAAAAGCTAATATTTGTGTAAGTTGTAATCTGTTGGTGTCAATTTCATGGACCCAAGATCCATAGGTAAGACTGTACATTGCAATATAAGTATGCCCCAATGCAATTCTGAAGTCTATATACAGTGCATTCGGAAAGTATTCAGACCCCTTGACTTTTTCCACATTTTGTTACATTACAGCCTTATTCTAAAATTGATTAAATATATTTTTTCCCTCATCAATCTACACACAATACCCCATAATGACAAAGCAAAAACAGGTTTTCATACATTTTTGCAAATACAAATAATTTCAGACCCTTTACTCAGTACTTTGTTGAAGCACCTTTGGCAGCGATTATAGCCTTGAGTCTTCTTGGGTATGACGCTACAAGCTTGGCACACCTGTATTTGGGGAGTTTCTCCCATGTTTCTCTGCAGATCCTCTCCAGCTCTGTCAGGTTGAATGGGGAGTGTCGCTGCACAGCTATTTTTAGGTCTCTCCAGAGATGTTCGATCGGGTTCAAGTCCGGACTCTGGCTGGGCCACTCAAAGACATTCAGAGACTTGTCCTGAAGCCACTCCTGCGCTGTCTTGGCTGTGTGCTTAGGGTCGTTGTCCTGTGGGTCCTGAGCGCTCTGGAGCAGGTTTTAATCAAGGATCTCTCTGTACTTTGCGCTGTTCATCTTTTCCTCGATTCTGACTAGTCTCCCAGTCCCTGCTGCTGAAAAACCTCCCCACGGCATGATGCTGCCACCACCATGCTTCACCGTAGGGATGGTGCCAGATGTACTCCAGATGGGTCGCTTGGCATTTAGAATCTTGTTTCTCATGGTCTGAGAGTCTTTAGGTGCCTTTTGGCAAACTCCAAGCGGGCTGTCATGTGCCTTTTACTGAGGAGTGGCTTCCATCTGGCCACTCTACCATAAAGGCCTGATTGGTGGAGTGCTGCAGAGACGGTTGTCCTTCTGGAAGGTTCTCCCATCTCCACAGAGGAACTCTGGAGCTCTGTCAGAGTGACCATCGAGTTCTTGGTCACCTCCCTGACCAAGGCCCTTCCCCCCTGATTGCTCAGTTTGGTCGGGCGGCCAGCTCTAGGAAGAGTCTTGGTGGTTCCAAACTTCTTCCATTTGAGAATGATGGAGGCGACTGACCTTCAATGCTGCAGAAATGTTTTGGTACCCTTCCCCAGATCTGTGCCTCGACACAATCCTGTCTTGGAGCTCTACGGACAATTCCTTCTACCTCATGGCTTGGTTTTTGCTCTGACATGCACTGTCAACTGTGGGACCTTATATAGATAGGTGTGTGCCTTTCCAAATCAGGCGAACAGCCAATTTCACTTTTGTTGCTAGTGCTGTTGTCTATGACACACACGTGAAGTCACATCAGCTCTGATTTTAAAAAAAATAAGAGGGGCAAAGCATAGACACAAGACTTGGGCAAAGACCCTGCAGGAGAGGATATGCTGCACAGCGCCCTCTTGTTTGGGTAGAGTAGTTGAATGAAAAGTGCATCCTTCCTCCTGCATCAGGTAATCATTGATTATTATTACACATGATTGGACAGGTGAATGCAAGGGCACCATCAGATGGCTTTTACCTTTCCAATAATGTATAATGAGTGAGGAAGGAATTATGCACTTTTAAAGAATTGTAACCCACTGGGCGGAGCCCTAGCCCATATAGGAAATTGTACAGGTAAGCAATATGGCAACAACAAAAAAAGAAATAACATAGATACTTTAGGTGAGGTGCTGACTAACAGAAGATAATCTATACAAATAAAAAATAAGTTGCATAGTCATCTCTACTTGCTGTGGATCCGCTCTACATGTCAAATCAATCAACTGTTATTTGTCACATGCTTAAACAACAGGTGTAGACTAACAGTGAAATGCTTACTTATGGGGCCTTTTCCAACAATGCAGAGTTAAAGATAAAGAAATAGTGACGAGGAATAAATGCACAGTGAATAACGAATAACAGTTGATTGTTCGTGCTGAGTAAACACAGAATAATTGAGGTAATCAGGCATTTTATTTCCATTACATCGTTTTTCCAACATTACTGTATTGATTTAATAGGAATGCACATTATTCATGGCCTCATCAAAATACAGACTAGTGAACAGCGGTAATAATAATAGTAACGAATATATGCCATTTAGCAGACGCTTTTATCCAAAGCGACTTACAGTCATGCGTGCATACATTTCACGCACGGGTGGTCCCGGGAATCGAACCCACTATCCATTGTGTTGCAAGCACCATACAAAATCGTGCAAGTTGAAGAAAGTGTTCCACACATAAATCATATCATCAGACGGAGACAAACTGTTCATTCATGAAATACTTAAAAAAACAGACCAGTGAAACTTGAAGTAAACTCAATTCAATGTCTATTCCACGTTGGTTGAACCAGTGTTCTTCGCTCAATAAATAGCTTGGGACATCTGCATACCATCTACATGACATCCGCAATTTGTTCCTTACAAACACATTGCAAACCCTAGACATCTTTCCATTGAGATGCAACAGGTACGTCCGGTGTAATACAACAAGTGGAAGGCCATACATCCAAATGGCCAAGCTCTGGAGTTCATCGTCAAGATATTTAATCTCATGTTGTTCATTCAATAAGATCCTACAAAACGGCGGGGACAAAAGAGGGGTCTTGTAAATGGATCACTGTCATTTCAAACAATTGATGGGCCATAGCGTTGGCCTTAAATGCACAATTTCACACATATTTTGCCTTTTGCTATGCACACAAAATGTCCTAAAAATCATGCTAACGCTAATAACACTCACATCATCTGAATCCACTTGGAAGACTGATGTTCCATTGCTAGTGGTGACGCTTTCTGGGTCGGCGGCAATGGAGCGGTCGTCGTCCTGAAGCTGCAGGAAAGAGAAGCGATACGTTGGCGCCCTGTAGGGGGCGGAGCAGAGCCACAAGGCATGTCAATATTTAGGATCAGAACGGAAGCAGGCATTTGAATGTGCACTTGTACCTGAGCAGTGTGTGTGATTGGGTATGTGCATATGTGCATGCTCGTGCGCATAAACGTGTGTGTGGCTCACCTATTTCCATAGACCATTCTCCTTACAGTATAGACAGCAATGGCAACAGCCACCAGAATGACAATCCCTACTCCAACGCAAACCACGATCAACACCATCTTCTCTCTCTGAAATACAGAGATAGCATTATCATATTTCTGGTCATAATATTCTAAACGCTCAAAAGCTTTATCATTTGACACATTGCATCATCTAATATGTGGGGCTGTATATTCTGATTTAGAAGTACCCAGAGGGTGTGTAGGCTTTTGTTCCAGCACATCGCTGACACAACTGATTCAACTCATCAACCAGTTATCAAGCCATTTATTGATTGAATCAGGTGTGCTAGTACTGGGCTGGAACAAAACCCAGCTCACAATGTGTGTCAATGTGAGATTGAAGAACACTGTTACATTATGCAGAGGTAAGACACACCTTTTACACATTGAGCAATAACAAAAGCACACACTCAAAGGAGACCCACACACGCAGATACACACGCACACTCACACGCACACACACAGGTCACACACACAGGTCACACTCACCGGGGTTTCAGAGTATGGGCTGGCAGTGGGCGGCTGACTGGAGTTCCCACAATGCCTGTTGACTGTTTCCTCTCTACGCAGGGGAGTGAAACCTCCCTCACACCTATCACTGGGAACCTTACGGTACCTACACATGGAGACCACACGGTGAACTGTGTGCGTGTGTTTGGTTTGACTATCCTTGTAGGGACCATATTTCGCCGGTCCCCACAAGGAAAAAGGTTAGGGGAAATAAGATTTTGAATGGGAATCAATTGTTTGGTCCCCACAAGGATAGTAAAACAAATGTGTGTGTCATAATTACCCTGATGTCCTAAGCTCCTCCTCCTCTCCGTTTAGACACACCTCCTGGGCGTGGTCTGCAGTGTCCAGTTGTCTCATACACTCTGAGCTGTTCTCATGGCGATAGTAACCATAGTCACTGTTTGTAAGGAGAGACACATTAGGCCATTTCAACCACAGACACAGTACAGATGCCTTATTGGCAATGTTATGTTTGACTCTGCCTTTGCCTCAAAGGCACAATTACAGAAAAAAAGCTATTTTGACTAGAAATGAAGTAACCAGGGGCGCAACTTTTGTTTTAGAAGTGGGGGGGACATCACTTATTATTATTTATTTTTTATCCAGTCGGATAAACACTCCAAAGAGCCCACCCGACCGCTCGGAGGCGTCCGCATGGTCCTAGAGCACACCGTTGCCTCATTCCAATGATAAAATTGGGGGGGACACAAATGCAATTTCAGAATGTGGGGGGGAAAGCCCCCCCCCCCCCCGACCCGACAGTGTTTCTTACCATAGGTAGTCCTCTCTGGTGCAGGGGCAGGGGCTTTTTTGCCTGCTCACTACGTAGTCCCGTCCATTCCTGCAGACGGACAGCTTCCTCAGCCTCCTGAAGATCACCTTGTAGCCCAAGACACACCCTTCTGTGGCCGAGTCCCCACCCTCTGTGGCATGGGCCAACCACTGAACATAGTCCTGGTTACCACCTATAGGAAACCAACGTTAACCAATAGAGAGAGACTAGCGAGACATGCCAATTTGAGTACGTATCGAAATCAGTGTTTTCAATCCTGGTCCCAGTGACCCACAGGGGTGCACACCAGAGAAGGCTGGTGGGAGGGCGAGCTCATTGTAATTGCTGGAATGGAATAAAAGGAACGGTATCAAACATATGGAAACCACATATTTGACGACGCTCTCTGGGTATTCTCACAATAGAAAGCTAGCTACTGTTTCAATCCTTGTGAAATGTCTGTTGTTGGTTTAATGATTATGATCCTTGGGGATATTACATTTGACAACAAACAAATAAGCGTGTGACTCACAGGGGGAATCTCAATCGTCTTTCCTTGATTCCTCATGACCCCTCTCCTCACCTCCTTCTCAAAAAGCATTGGAGGAGAAGATCCAATGTTCCTACCCTCAGACATTCTCTTCCACTGAGTTTTGACAAGTAGAAGTGTAGACACAGGATACAAGGAATCAAGGAAATACAATTGAGATTCACCCACACTCTCTGGTGATGAGACTCCGGAAGTCAATGGTGACCACCACCCACATGGGCTGGTCATCGTCCTCGGGCCGGTAACCCCACACGCTGATGTTCATGGTCTTGGTGCCCGGCTCGGACGTCAGGCCAGCGAAGAAGATGGGCTGCTCTGTGAAGTTGTACACCTTCCAACACTGGCCCTCATCTGTGGAGAACCTGGGGTGATGCACAATCACATACAGGGTCGTATTCATTAGTGCACACTGTCACAAAATGCTTTGCAACGGAAAACTAAAACAAGCCTTTCTTATAGGTTGTTTTCTTTCGTTTGGTGCCTAATGAATACGACCCTGTATAAACATCTCCATGTGAACGTGCAAGCACACACACATGAAGTAGACAGACACGTTCACAGCCACAACTTCATAGGGAGAGAAGAGTGGATAAACACAGACACACACAAAACACTCATAGGACGTCGCTTGCATGCCATGGGTGGGGGTGTGAATACAAAGCAACTTCTTTACACCCAATATTTCTACACCCCAACGACTGTGTGTGTGTGTGTGCATGCGTGTGTGTGGTGTTCAGTACTTGATGGTGTTGATTTGGCCGTCCCTGGGGTGGGCCTCCACAGCCACGACGAGCCCCCCAGAGTCCAGGATGCTGTAGTGATGGGCCCCCCTCAGCGCACCCCTCCACTTGTACCCCCCGTCCTCCGACACGTACACATCAGGCCGTGCTGACGAGATGGAGTCCCCCACACTGCCTGGGAGGTCAAAGGGCAGAGGGCCGAGGTCATAGAAAGGTCACACACATTCTGGGACAGCTAGAGGGTGGGGGCTGTGTCCGAAAATATGTTTTATCTGTCAGTCATCCGGTCCCAAATGTCTCCCTACCCCTCCCTTTAGCCCTAACCCTCCAATGTTGACCTATTTTGTAGTGGTGACCAAATTATTACGGGGGGGAAAGAATTTCCTGTATAGTCCAATCAAGATTCCCTACAATGCAAAATGTTGTGCGCAACATCATGTACACTACGGTAATACAGAAGTATCACAATGCAACGTGTCTTTGATATGTATGATTGACAGTTTGGTTACCGTGGGCGATGACAAGGCCAACGGCGGTGGGGTCAGAGAGAGGCAGCATGGGAGTTATGCCGTTGTAGTGACTGTGCTCGCCGTGGATGTGCAGGTTACACTGACACACACACACACACACACAAGAATGCCATTGTTCACACTCATATAATAAGCATCAACACACCCACGACTTGATGTTATTTTCATTGTCAGAGGAGGGAATTAAGTTAGTTCTCACATCATTTCTTGAATCCTCGCCACACTCAACATTCTGGGGCTTGTTGAGGAGTTTCCACTCGCCCCCTCGGTTAAATGAAATGACTGTCCGAATGCGGCCGTCTGTCAAAAACAATACTAATTGTCATATTTTTGGAACTAAAAAAGACATGCATTCATGGTTGAAAACCCACCAACAAACTAGAAAAAACACAGAGGGCAGTTCCCAAGATTCATCCTTAAAACCCGCCTACAAACTGGGAAAAACACAGTGGTCAGTTCCCAAGATTCATCCTTAAAACCCGCCTACAAACTAGGAAAAACACAGAGGTCAGTTCCCAAGATTCATCCTTAAAACCCGCCTACAAACTGGGAAAAACACAGAGGTCAGTTCCCAAGATTCATCCTTAAAACCCTACAAACTGGAAAAACACAGAGGTCAATTCCCAAGATTCATCCTTAAAACCCGCCTACAAACTAGGAAAAACACAGAGGTCAGTTTCCAAGATTCAACCTGAATAGAAATACAGTTGCCAGGGTGATATTCATTAGTGCACACTGTAGCAAAACTTTATGCAACCGAAAACAAAAACAAGCATTTCTTAAGTTCATGCATCAATCAATCAAATGTACAGTACCAGTCAAAAGTTTGGACACACCTACTCATTCAAGGGCTTTTCTTTAATTTTACTATTTTGTTCATTGTAGAATAACAGTGAAGACATCAAAACTATGAAATAACACATATGGAATCATGTAGTAACCAAAAAAGTGTTAAACAAATCAAAATATATTTTATATTTGAGATTCTTCCAAGTAGCCACCCTTTGCCTTGATGACAGCTTTGCAAACTCTTGGCATTCTCTCAACCAGCTTCATGAGGTAATCACCTGTAATGCATTTCAATTAACAGGTGTGCCTTGTTAAAAGTTAATTTGTGGAATTTCTTTCCTTCTTAATGCGTTTGAGCCAATCAGTGGTGTTGTGACAAGGTAGGGGTGGTATACAGAAGATAGCCCTATATGGTAAAAGACCAAGTCCATATTATGGCAAGAACAGCTCAAATAAGCAACGAGAAACGACAGTCCATCATTACTTCAAGACATGAAGGTCAGTCAATCTGGAACATTTCAAGAACTTTGAAAGTTTCTTCAAGTGCAGTCGCAAAAACCATAAAGCGCTATGATGAAACTGGCTCTCATGAGGACCACCACAGGATAAATGCTTCAAATAAACCACCCAAATAAATGCTTCAAAGAGTTCAAGTAACAGACACATCTCAACATCAACTGTTCAGAGGAGAAAGTGTGAATCAGGCCTTCATGGTTGAATTACTGCAAAGAAACCAGAGACTTGCTTGGGCCAAGAAACATGAGCAATGGACATAGACCAGTGGAAATCTGTCCTTTGGTCTGATGATTCCAAATTTGAGATTTTTTGTTCCAACCGCAGTGTCTTTGTGAGACGCAGAGTAGGTGAACGGATTATCTCTGCATGTGTGGTTCCCACCGTGAAGCATGGAGGAGGAGGTGTAATGGTGTGGGGGTGCTTTGCTGGTGACACTGTCAGTGATTTATTTAGAATTCAAGGCACACTTAACCAGCATGGCTACCACAGCATTCTGCAGCGATACGCCATCCCATCTGGTTTGCGTTTAGTGGGACTATCATTTGTTTTTCAACAGGACAATGACCCAACACACCTCCAGGCTGTGTAAGGGCTATTTGACCAAGAAGGAGAGTAATGGAGTGCTGCATCAGATGACCTGGCCTCGACAATCACCTTAACCCAATTGAGATGGTTTGGGATGAGTGTGACCGCAGAGTGAAGGAAAAGCAGCCAACAAGTGCTCAGCATATGTGGGAACTCCTTCAAGACTGTTGGAAAAGCATTCCAGGTGAAGCTGGTTGAGAGAATGCCAAGAGTGTGCAAAGCTGTCATCAAGGCAAAGGGTGGATACTTTGAAGAATCTAAAATGTTAAATATATTTTGATTTGTTTAACACTGTTTTGGTTACTACATGATTCCATATGTGTTATTTCATGGTTTTGATGTCTTCACCATTATTCTACAACGTAGAAAATAGTAAAAATAAAGAAAAACCCTTGAATGAGTAGGTGTGTCCAAACTTTTGACTGGTACTGTATTTATAAAGCCCTTTTTACATCAGCAGTTGTCACAAAGTGCTTATACAGAAACCCAGCCTAAAAAAAAAAGCAATGCAGATGTAGAAGCACAGTGGCTAGGAAAAACTCCCTAGAAAGGCTGGAACCTAGGAAGAAACCTAGAGAGGAACCAGGCTCTGAGAGGTAGCTAGTCCTCTTCTGGCTGTGCCGGGTGGAGATTATAAGAGTCCCTCCCCGTTTCGGACTGTTTATGTTCCTAATGAATACGACCCAGATTGTGTTGATGCGTAGTTGCGTACCCTCCTCCAGTATGTTGGTGAGGTAGACTCCTCTCATGGAGGTGACATTGGTGAAGTCGCTCTTCCCTTCCCCACCAAACAGGTGGCGTTCCAGAGACTTAGAGTACACGATGCCCCGGTCATCTGACGTGTACACCGTCCCAAAGTAGCTTTCCTCTGGAGAATAGAAGAGAGTGGAGTATGGTAGAATAGAATAAAAAGTCAATAGAATTAAACATTATTATATAGTAGGAATGGTAATTTATCATCTACTCTATCCTGACCCCATGAGACAACACACACACACACACACACGGATGGTAGAAATACAGTGTCTTCTGTAGGCATGGGAACAAACCCAACTGCGCTGACAAAGCCCTCTATGAGTCGGCATAGCAATAAGGGGCTGTCAACATCAATAAATGGTGTGAAGAACACTCCTGACATCAAAGATGTAGAAACAACTTAGGTCAGGACTTAGTGGTAAATAGTATGCATATGATCTTCTGGCCTTAAAATCCCCTTGTAACATGTGCTGCTGTGTGTGCGTGTGTGTGTGTGTGTGTGTGTGTGTGTGTGTGTGTGTGTGTACCCTGATGCCCAGAGCTGTGTCAGCTGTCCTTCTAGCCTAGTCAGGTGTCTGTCTACCTCTTCCCCCTCTCAGATAAAACCCCTCTCTGTTCCTTCTTATCTGCTCCATTCATCTGAATGGGACAAAAGCCTCAGGCCTCTACCCGTACACGCTTACTGTATACACTGACCCAGAAGAGACACACACACAAACACAGCCTGTATGATTGGATGATTTGTCAGCAATACTGAGAACTTGTGAAACCAGTCTTTCCTCTTTCTCTTTAACACACTCAAGCCTTTCCATTGCAGCAAGAAGGGTTAGCAGGGCGGAGACAGACATAGCAGGGTTAGGGTTAGCAGGGCTGAGACAGCCATATCAGGGTTAGAGTTAGCAGGGCTGAGACAGCCATAGCAGGGTTAGGGTTAGCAGGGCTGAGACAGCCATAGCAGGGTTAGGGTTAGCAGGGCTGAGACAGCCATAGCAGGGTTAGGGTTAGCAGGGCTAAGATAGCCATAGCAGGGTTAGGGTTAGCAGGGCTGAGACAGCCATGGCAGGGTTAGGGTTAGCAGGGCTAAAACAGCCATAGCAGGGTTAGGGTTAGCAAGGCTGAGACAGCCATAGCAGGGTTAGGGTTAGGGTTAGCAGGGCTAAGACAGCCATAACAGGGTTAGGGTTAGCAGGGCTAAGACAGCCATAGCAGGGTTAGGGTTAGCAGGGCTGAGACAGCCATAGCAGGGTTAGGGTTAGCAGGGCTGAGACAGCCATAGCAGGGTTAGGGTTAGCAGGGCTGAGACAACCATAGCAGGGTTAGGATTAGGGTTAGCAGGGTTGAGACAGCCATAGATCTAGATGAGATAGATGTACAATTTCAGACACGATCAGTGCTGAGCAAAATACATGAGTAAACTTAAAAGTTAACTTTAATGTTTAATCTAAAGATGGATCCATGTGGCTCATATGTCCTATGTCTGTACTTGAAAAGCATGTGTGAGTGTGTGAGTTAGAATGTGAGAGAGAGAGAGAGAGAGAGGGGGGGGGGGGGGGGGGGGGGGGAGGGGGGCAGAGATGTGGCGCTCGCGCTAGGAGCGCGCAGCAGAGCGCGCGCTCGCCGAGCGCGCCGAGATAGCGCAGCGAGAGCGACGCGCTCTCTCTCGACTATCGCACGCGTCGCGCGAGCGCGAAAACCAGAGACAGATTGTTGTGCGTGTGACAGAGTACGTGTGAGATGTGTGTGTGTGAGTGAGCTGTGATGAAGTTCCCTCCTTTCCCCGAGAGTACCTCCCGGATTGTCCACATGCATGAAGATCATATCCTCATCCCCATCCAGAACAGAGTAGAACTGGAAACACACACACATATATATACAGGTGAAAAAATGACTCATTAAGGCATGTGTGCAACTGTTCGATTCATTGTAATGCCTCCCCCAATTAGGTATATATGTGTGTGTGTGTGTGTGTGTGTGTGTGTGTGTGTGTGTGTGTGTGTGTGTGTGTGTGTGTGTGTGTGTGTGTGTGCTCTCCCATTCCTAAGACTTTAATCATCATGAGAGAATATCCTTGTTTCTGTGTCGTCAGCAAGATACAATTTGGGAGAGAGAATTTGGGAGAGAGGGGTAGGAGTACATGGGTATAGGGGGAGAGGGTAGGGGGACAGTGGGACAGGGGAAGAGGGAGACAGGGAGAGAGAGACAGAGAGAAGGGTACAAGGCAAAACAGAAGGACAGTTGGACAAGGACACAGAGCGACAGACAGAACAGGGGGAACAGAGAGACAGGAGAAGACAGGGACAGGAAGACAACAGTACAGAGAAACAAGAGAGATGGACAGGGGTAGAGCTGTTGCGGTCATGAAATGTTGTCAGCCGGTGATTGTCAAGCAAATAACTGCTGGTCTGATTAACATAAACTCCTGGCTTCTACGCATTGCCTACAAGCCACTGATGCAGACCTTTGGAACATCTACATTTAAAAAAGTCTAAGAAATCAATTTAATATAGCATACACCATCACAATAAATCGATTATTGATTTTAGACAGGTCTAAAGAAACATGATATGAAGAAAATGTAGTCTATTTCAGAAGAACAGAAGAACATACTCTGAGTTGTCCTTATGTTAAGCCCTGATCTGACTATGCCATATGGCTGTGGGCTACACTAGTTCATTTAGCAGACAAGATTTTCTTAGAATTCCGTGGCATTATTTTTTATTATTTTATAGTATGAAGAACACAATTGAACATAGCTGAATAAAATAGAAAGGATGTTTTCTCCAAACGATTTCAAAGGAAGTGCGCACATGCAGCTATTGTGTGTTGAACGGTTAAAAAAGAAACTGGTCCTCTTATATGCTTACTTTAGAGTTATTTATGCAACTTTAGTTGTGATATAAACGTTGGGCTATAGGTTTAGATTTTTAATACATTCTAAGGCTGTATGATGCGACTCAAATATTGATTTGAAAAATTGTCGCATGAAAGGCATGAGCTCTGATTTGTTTCTTGTTCAAGCTGCACACACTTCATTAGTCTCTCATTCACAATTTGACAAGCACTTGATAATAATCTCACCAAGCCTCGAATTTCCCACCTCTGACTCACATTGCTCTCTCAGATATCTCAATTCTTATTAGCCAATGCCCGTCACGTGATCGGGTCCTTCTCACAGGCATTTCAGCTAAGAAGTAGGCTACAAGTGAATGAAGACCCACACATCCGGGACGCAACTCTGAATTCCCAGGCGCATATTGTAGATATTAGAACTGTCCACATTTAGCCTACTTTTTGTCAGCCAACAAGATGAGTAGGCCTAACGAACAGCAAAAGTACTAGCCTATGTCAATCTACTATCCCCCATAGTACAAATTAATAGAACCACTCGCGTCAACAAAAAAAAGTTAAAGCAATGAGGCTGATGCAACAGATCAGAACGTTTAGCTTAAAATATTAATAAACTATTAGGCTATTTCTTCACATTATAAGCACAGCAATGCGCACACGGCAGTAGGCTATAAGTGCGAATGTTCCAAAACGCAATCAATTAGCGGGAAAACACTGTCCTTGAAAGTGACGGCAAATATGATTATGCATGTAATGCTGTATTATAAAGGTGCATTTTTATGGTGAAAATGATCTTCTCCAAACTTGAAACTATGCCAGTTAGGCTCTACACCGGTTATAAAGCGGATTAATATGCCACATTTTAAGAAGTTATTTGGCCACTTTAGTTGTGATACAAACATTATCAAAACATATAGGCTTATGGGCTAGGCTACATGAGGTGTGTGACTATGATAAAAAAAAAAAAAGCCATGCTCTGTTTCTTGCCTTAAGCTGGGCATCATTCACAAGAGATAATATATAATTCACAAGTGATAGGCTAATATTGTCTCCATCAGACTATTCTTAATTTAATGTTGTCTTTACATACTAAATAATATACACTACCGTTCAAAAGTTTGGGGTCACTTAGAAATGTCCATTTTTTTGTCCATTAAAATAACATCAAATTGATCAGAAATACTGTGTAGACATTGTTAATGTTGTAAATGGCTATTGTAGCTGGAAACGGCTGATTTTTTATGGAATATCTACATAGACGTACAGAGGCCCATTATCAGCAACCATCAGTCCTGTGTTCCAATGGCACGTTGTGTTTGCTAATCCAAGTTTATAATTTTAAAAGGCTAATTGATCATTAGAAAACCCTTTTGCAATTATGTTAGCACAGCTGAAAACTGTTGTGCTGATTAAAGAAGCAATAAAACTGGCCTTCTTGAGACTAGTTGAGTATCTGGAGCATCAGCAATTGTGGGTTCGATTACAGGATCAAAATGGCCAGAAACAAATAACTTTCTTCTGAAACTCGTCAGTCTATTCTTGTTCTGAGAAATGAAGGCTATTCCATGTGAGAAATTGCCAAGAAACTGAAGATCTCGTACAAGATTAAGATGGGCAGTCTGAGATATGGCTTTTTCTTTGCAACTCTGCCTAGAAGATCAGCATCCCGGAGTCGCCTCTTCACTGTTGACGTTGAGACTGGTGTTTTGCAGGTACTATTTAATGAAGCTGCCAGTTGAGGACCTGTGAGGCGTCTGTTTCTCAAACTAGACACTCTAATGTAATTGTCCTCTTGCTCAGTTGTGCACTGGGGCCTACCACTCCTCTTTCTATTCTGGTTAGAGCCAGTTTGCACTGTTCTGTGAAGGGAGTAGGACACAGCGTTGTACGAGATCTTCAGTTTCTTGGCAATTTCTCACATGGAATAGCCTTCATTTCTCAGAACAAGAATAGACTGACGAGTTTCAGAAGAAAGTTATTTGTTTCTGGCCATTTTGATCCTGTAATCGAACCCACAATTGCTAGTCTCAAGAAGGCCAGTTTTATTGCTTCTTTAATCAGCACAACAGTTTTCAGCTGTGCTAACATAATTGCAAAATGGTTTTCTAATGATCAATTAGCCTTTTAAAATGATAAACATGGATTAGCAAACACAACCTGCCATTGGAACACAGGATTTTCGAGTACATTTGCATTGATGTCAGAGTGATTAGATGGTCAATAGAGTGCTGAGTACCAGGCAGTTAGCAATTTTTGTAGGCTACTAATGACCATCAGCAGCATCAGAGCTTGGAGAAGCCTAATTACCGTGACTAAACGATCACTTGGAATTTGACTGCCGTCATGACCTGTGACCACCGGTGACTGGGGACAATAGAATGAAGTGAGGGCAGAGGGGACATAGTGGGGTACAGAGGGAAATAATGGACAGACAGACAGACAGACAAGAGCCTGTCCTACCTGCTCGGTGGAGGCGGAGGGAAGCTGGGCCTTGTTGAAGTGGTCCCCTTGGTCTGAGGACACATAGATAACACGTGGGGCTCCCTGGGAGAGAATCACTTAGTCACAACACAGATCTAACCAAGGCTCCCTGGGAGAGAATCACTTAGTCACAACACAGATCTAACCAAGCAAGATCCACAATGTGGTGTAGGACTGTTCACTGACTGGACCAATGAAAGGCAGAGTGAGTCTAAATAACACAGATTTTGAGTGATTTTCGTGTTTGTAAATTATATGTTGGCTTATATGTTGATATGCGTGTTTTGTTTGTTTGTGTGTGTGTGTGTGCATGCATGCGATTGCTTGCATGAGTATGCAGGCTTGCATGTGTGTGTGTGTCTCACCAGTGTCTCTATGACTGAGGTGAAGAGGAAGCCTCCTACATAGCCGAAGGAGAAGATGCTGTGTAGCACGGTGGTGAATGTCTTCCCCAGGTCCTCTGTCCTCTTCAGGAGCAGCTCTCCTCTTCTGTCTGCCTCCACTAACAACACAACACAATAGACCAGCGCCCTATTCATTAGGCACCAAACAGAAGAAAAACGCACCAACACAGGGAGGGATATCTGAAGTTGTCACTCGTTTTTTGGTTTTCTCTCACCTGTTCCTTTGGGACTGAAGCTGAAGAGAGAGTGATGCCGGAGCCCTGGCAAAATAAGAGGAGGAGAGGAGAGGAGAGGGAGAGAGGAGGAGAAGAGGGAGAGAGAGGGAGAGAGGAGAGAGAGAGAGGGAGAGAGAAAGATATAGAGAGGATGAGATAGAGAGAGAGGAGAGAAGATAAGGAGCTCTCTTCTCTAGAGCTCTCCTCTCTCTGAGCGAGAGAGTCCGAGTCTCTCGAGGATTCTACTCGGGGCTCTATCTCTCCTCCTCTCATATTTTATACACGTAGATATACATGGCATCGACTTACACTCAGTTCAGAGGCCTCTCATGTTTAGTGACTTAACAAATAGGAGTTTCGCACTCCTACCAAACACACTACAGTTGCCACCAGACCTGGGCTAAACATTCCAATTCAGTCAAACAACAGACAACAGACTGTAGACGTGTGTGCTTTCTGATCTCTGTGTGTTTTCTACATTGATGTATTGAAGTCAGTATTTAGATTGACCACGACACACCTCCGCCCTTTGTCTGGGGACGGCTGATCAAATTGACCTTTGTGGTGTGTGTGTGTGTATGTGTGTGTGTGTGTACCGTTTGTTCTCACCACGTGAAAGATTGTGTTCCCTCGTGAACCTTTGTCCACACAGCCCCAAAATCCAGAGAAAGCCACAGGCCACCCTGTAAGTGAGAAAAGCATATGAGAATGTGTATTTAATGCTTCAATATGTCACTTTTTGGGTGACCCAACCAAATGCACATAGAAATGTGAGTTATAGATATGTCATTCTCATTGAAAGCAAGTCTAAGAAGCGGTAGATCTGTTCTATATGCACTATTTCTATGCTTCCCGTTCTTACGTTTCGTTTTTGGTCTTTTACTTTCGGTTTTGTACACAAGCTTGAAAATACAATATATTTGGTTATTGAAAATATATTTCACAGCGGTTTAGATGGTACAATGATTATCTACACTATACTTGCTTGTTTTGTCACATAAACTGAAATTAGGCAAACTATTCAAATTTTTGCAACTAGGAAATGGCGGAGTGATTTCTGCATATTGCACCTTTAAGCTGAGTTAAAGGTGTGTGTGTGTGTGTGTGTGTGTGTGTGAGGTGAGGTGAGTGTGAACTTAACAGCTGAATTTCATGTGAAAATTCTATACGATCACAAAGAGATAGAGAGCACGTTTGTTTATTTACTCACATCAATGCTGATGACCACTAAGTATTCGGGATTCAGGAAGTGGAAGGTGATTGGCTGGGCCGGGTGAAAGGGCAGCTGGACAGACTTAAAGGACACTCCGGCGTCAGTCGAGGTAAAGATGACGCCACCAGGGTTGTCCAAGACCGGTGTGTCTGCAGTCAGAATCACCTGTCAATCAGAACAAGCACCATCGGTGATGGGAGGTTGCCTGAGGGTGCATCTCAATAGTCTAAACTGGCTTCCTCCCCTTGTCTTCTCTATTGTCTTCATATAATTCACCTCCCCAACCCCAAAATAAAACTATGAGGCCTCATCCTGGGGTGTATTCATTAGACGCCAAGCAGACAAAAACAGTGGAATTTGTCCACTAAGATACGCTTGCTTTCGTTGCTGAACATTTTCCGTTGCAAATTGAATACCACCCTGTTGTGGTTGTTTAGGAGGAAAGGGTTTGGTGGTTTTGTTGTTCTCACTGTCTAGTCTTCACACCAGAGTTCTGAGCAACGTGACCACAGTGGCAAGTGGAGGAGAGTGGTGAAACTGAGATGTGGTGCCTCAAGCTGATTGGACAGCAAGAACCAAGACAGCTGATGTGTCTGCACATGCATGCCAGACAGTCACAAACACACACACATATACCCACACACATGCAGACACACACACACAGACTGTCATCAGAATGCTTTCCTCCATGTACACTTGTGATCTGGCAGCTTACCTGCTGAGAGTTCCCTGGTCCAGCCAGAAGTCCAAATTCCTTCCTTATGAAGGTGTTGTTGATGAGATGAGAAACATCATGGAAAGACTTGCCATAGTCTGCACTGAGAGGGGAGGATAACAAGCCAAAATGTCAAAACACTGGCTCAGTTAATCTATTCTACACACAGACTGACACAGACAGACAGACAGACAGACACACAGACAGACAGACACACAGACAGACACAGACAGACGGGCAGACAGAGACAGAAAGACAGACAGACAGACATATAGATACAGACAGACAGATTGCCACCATCCACTAACCTGCGGTACAGTCGTGAAGAACCGCCCTCGAAGAAGGAGTCTAGAGGAGCACTGACTGTAGACAACACCAAGATTACCTGGTGGGACACAAAATAACACTTGGCTAAACATCACCATAACATTTACATTTTAGTCATTTAGCAGACACTCTTATCCAGAGTGACTTACAGGAGCAATTAGGGTTAAGTGCCTTGTTCAAGGGCACAGACAGATTTTTCACCTAGTCGGGGATTAGAACCAGCGACCTTTCGGTTACTGGCACAACGCTCTTAACCACTAAGCTACCTGCCGCCCCACTGTACTATTACCAGTTTATGTACAGTTAGCAATGCCCATTTATGCACCCCTGTCATTACAATCACTCACTCACTCACTCACTCAATCAATCAACCAACCAATTAACCAATCACTCACTCATTCAATCACTCACCCAACCAACCAATCATTCACTCACTCACTCAATCAATCAATCAATCAATCAATCAATCAACCAAATGAAAACATTGTTGTCAAAGCCTTAAATTGTTTCCTCTGTCCTCCTCCTTTTTCCTTCCCTTCGTCTGCATCGATGTGAGCGAACTGGACAGGTGAAAGCAAATTCCCTGTAGGTATCTATCACGTTTCCTCACTGTCAGGTTATCGCAGATGAAAGAGAGGAAAGAGGGAAGGAAGCTACTCAAGCCTATTGAGCTGCACCCGTTTCAGATGCACCCCATGAATGATGATGACAATGATTCTACATCCATCATCCATTAAGTGAGGACCATACTTACTCCTGTCCCGTCTCCAACCCATGTGACAGTAAAACTGGAGCCATCATCACCATGAAACCCTGTCTGAAGGGAGAGAAAGAAAGAGAGAGCAATGGAGAGAGAGAGAGAGAGAGAGAGAGAGAGTGAAATCGAGAGAGAGACTCATCTTACTCACATACAAACATAACATCACACCTTCAGAGCTGATTAACCTTATGACAACCCAAGTAGCCCTACCCTCAAAACTATCACACACAAAATCATTAATAAAGCAAGCATTAATCATTAACAAGCAGTAGGCTAATACAACAACAACAAAATCCCTTGCTCACGAACGTTATGATGACATATTATGATAAATTAGCATTTATTTACGCAATTCCAAATTGCAAAAGTAAAATGCGGTGTTGATGCTCTAGCAGTTGATAAAGTAAGTCAAAAACGGCACTGACATCAAATCAAATCAAATTTTATTGGTCACATGCGCCGAATACAACAGGTGCAGACATTACAGTGAAATGCTTACTTACAGCCCTTAACCAACAGTGCATTTATTTTAAACAAAAAAAGTAAGAATAAAACAACAACAAAAAAAGTGTTGAAAATAGCTCTCACCTCGTGTGTATTTTGATCCAACACCCTGTGTTCTAATGGTGTAAGACGGAGTGTACAAGCGGTGAAAGTGGGACTTGGAGAAGCTATGGTATCCCTTTCTGGCCGTGAGAGGACTTTACCGTGGTTCCCAAATTGCTGAGTCCGATGGAAAGACACCGTTCTCCGGTTTCGTTGCTCTTTGCACTGACCCCCCACACCCAGAAGAAGCAAGCATGCCCCACCGAGGACAAAAAGTCTCCAAGTCATTTTGATGTGGTGGGCTAGAAATAACGGTAAAGTCCCAAATCCCACAGTTCTGTCACGTATGACAGGCTAGCATTGCCTTTCGTTTCAGGCGACAAATGACAAGTGTCCTACTTGAAAGGCAGGGGGGCGGAGAGACACATGTTTGACGGGTCATTTACATAACATCTGCTGCCAGCGCGTATTTCAACGGTTGTTTGCCCCCATGCCGCATCCAAGTGATGTCCATACAGATGTAGGCTACAAAACCTCCTTCACACAGCCACTATAATGCCTTTGCTAAAACTGATAGTAGGCTAAGCCTATAGCAGCATATATAGATTGACTCAATGTTAATGCTAAGCCTATAGCAGCATATATAGATTGACTCAATGTTAATGCTATAGTAGCTATAGGCTAAATTCCCTGTAGCATAACAAGTATAATTTATGTATTACAAGTGTGAGAAAAGTATCTCCCACCATAGCATCACATCTACAGTAGTTTGCAAAGTATTACTACATAGAACTAAGCAACCTGCCTAATAGATTTAATGTCATCAGCAACTATGTATGCGCTTCTCCCTTGTCCGGCGCACAGTAAAACAACTGTTCAACAGATGGCGCAGTTGGCCTATAAGAGAACACTGTAGCCATTTGAACAAATTCCTTTTGTGATTTTTTTTACAAGTTCATGGAGACCTGTTGTTTATGATACGTTGACTTGGCTAGAGAGAGAGGAGACTTAGTAACACATTTAAAGCAGAATTATTGTGGGTACATGCATTTACATTCAATATGTCCCTCAGCTCTCCTGAATATTTTTGAGGAGACCATCATTAGACAGGCCAAAAAGATCATATCGGACTCCACGCATGTACTGAACATTGAGTCCCAGCTGATGCCACCAGGGAGGTGTAATGGGGCAGGGTTTCTCAAAGTGGGGTCAGTGGACCAATGGCCAAATCTCAAAATACTACACTGCTCAAAAAAATTAAAGGGAACACTTAAACAACACAATGTAACTCCAAGTCAATCACACTTCTGTGAAATTAAACTGTCCACTTAGGAAGCAACACTGATTGGTTTTGCAGGTGGTGACCACAGACCACTTCTCAGTTCCTATGCTTTCTGGCTGATGTTTTGGTCACTTTTGAATGCTGGCGGTGCTTTCACTCTAGTGGTAGCATGAGACGGAGTCTACAACCCACACAAGTGGCTCAGGTAGTGCAGCTCATCCAGGATGGCACATCAATGTGAGCTGTGGCAAGAAGGTTTGCTGTGTCTGTCAGCGTAGTGTCCAGAGCATGGAGGCGCTACCAGGAGACAGGCCAGAACATCAGGAGACGTGGAGGAGGCCGTAGGAGGGCAACAACCCAGCAGCCGGACCGCTACCTCCGCCTTTGTGCAAGGAGGAGCAGGAGGAGCACTGCCAGAGCCCTGCAAAATGACCTCCAGCAGGCCACAAATGTGCATGTGTCTGCTCAAACGGTCAGAAACAGACTCCATGAGGGCGGTATGAGGGCCCGACGTCCACAGGTGGGGGTTGTGCTTACAGCCCAACACCGTGCAGGACGTTTGGCATTTGCCAGAGAACACCAAGATTGGCAAATTCGCCACTGGCGCCCTGTGCTCTTCACAGATGAAAGCAGGTTCACACTGAGCACATGTAACAGACGTGACAGAGTCTGGAGACGCCGTGGAGAACGTTCTACTGCCTGCAACATCCTCCAGCATGACCGGTTTGGCGGTGGGTCAGTCATGGTGTGGGGTGGCATTTCTTTGGGGGGCCGCACAGCCCTCCATGTGCTCGCCAGAGGTAGCCTGACTGCCATTAGGTACCGAGATGAGATCCTCAGACCCCTTGTGAGACCATATGCTGGTGCGGTTGGCCCTGGGTTCCTCCTAATGCAAGACAATGCTAGACCTCATGTGGCTGGAGTGTGTCAGCAGTTCTTGCAAGAGGAAGGCATTGATGCTATGGACCGCCCGTTCCCCAGACCTGAATCCAATTGAGCACATCTGGGACATCATGTCTCGCTCCATCCACCAACGCCACGTTGCACCACAGACTGTCCAGGAGTTGGTGGATGCTTTAGTCCAGGTCTGGGAGGAGATCCCTCAGGAGACCATCCGCCACCTCATCAGGAGCATGCCCAGGCGTTGTAGGGAGGTCATACAGGCACGTGGAGGCCACACACACTACTGAGCCTCATTTTGACTTGTTTTAAGGACATTACATCAAAGTTGGATCAGCCTGTAGTGTGGTTTTCCACTTTAATTTTGAGGGTGACTCCAAATCCAGACCTCCATGGGTTGATAAATTTGATTTCCATTGATCATTTTTGTGTGATTTTGTTGTCAGCACATTCAACTATGTAAAGAAAAAAGTATTTAATAAGATTATTTCTTTCATTCAGATCTAGGATGTGTTATTTTAGTGTTCCCTTTATTTTTTTGAGCAGTGTATATATATATACACTACCGTTCAAAAGTTTGGGGTCACTTAGACATTTTTTGTCCATTAAAATAACATCAAATTGATCAGAAATACAGTGTAGACATTGTTAATGTTGTAAATGTCTGTTGTAGCTGGAAACGTCTGATTTTTAATGGAATATCTACATAGGAGTACAGAGGCCCATTATCAGCAACCATCAGTCCTGTGTTCCAATGGCACGTTGTGTTTGCTAATCCAAGTTTATCATTTTAAAAAGGCTAATTGATCATTAGAAAACCCTTTTGCAATTATGTTTGCACAGCTGAAAACTGTTGTGCGGATTAAAGAAGCAATAAAACTGGCCTTCTTGAGACTAGTTGAGTATCTGGAGCATCAGCAATTGTGGGTTCGATTACAGGCTCCAAATGGCCAGAAACAAATAACTTTCTTCTGAAACTCGTCAGTCTATTCTTGTTCTGAGAAATGAAGGTTATTCCATGTGAGAAATTGCCAAGAAACTGAAGATCTCGTACAACGCTGTGCACAACTCCCTTCACAGAACAGCGCAAACTGGCTCTAACCAGAATAGAAAGAGGAGTGGGAGGCCCCGGTGCACAACTGAGCAAGAGGACAAATACATTAGAGTGTCTAGTTTGAGAAACAGACGCCTCGCAGGTCCTCAATTAACAGCTTCATTAAATAGTACCCGCAAAACACCAGTCTCAACGTCAACAGTGAAGAGGCGACTCCGGGATGCTGACCTAGGCAGAGTCGCAAAGAAAAAGTCATATCTCAGACTGGCCAATAAAGATAAAAGATTAAGATGGGCAGTCTGAGATATGGCTTTTTCTTTGCAACTCTGCCTAGAAGGTCAGCATCCCGGAGTCACCTCTTCACTGTTGACTTTGAGACTGGTGTTTTGCGGGTACTATTTAATGAAGCTGCCAGTTGAGGACCAGTGAGGCGTCTGTTTCTAAAACTAGACACTCTTGCTCAGTTCTGCACCGGGGCCTCCCACTCCTCTTTCTATTCTGGTAAGAGCCAGTTTGCGCTGTTCTGTGAAGGGAGTAGTACACAGCGCCCCCACACCATAACACCTCCTCCACTATGCTTTACGGTTGGAAATACACATGCAGAGATAATCCGTTCACCCACACCACGTCTCACAAAGACACGCCGGTTGGAACCAAAAATCTCCAATTTGGACTCCAGACCAAAGGACAAATTTCACCGGTCTAATGTCCATTGCTCGTGTTTCTTGGCCCAAGCAAGTCTCTTCTTATTATTGGTGTCCTTTAGTAGTGGTTTCTTTGCAGCAATTTGACCATGAAGGCCTGATTCACACAGTCTCCTCTGAACAGTTGATATTGAGATGTGTCTGTTACTTGATCTCTGTGAAGCATTTAATTGGGCTGCAATTTCTGAGGCTGGTAACTCTAATGAACTTATCCTCTGCAGCAGAGGTAACTCTGGGTCTTCCATTCCTGTGGCGGTCCTCATGAGAGCCAGTTTCATCATAGCACTTGATGGTTTTTGCAACTGCAATTGAAGAAACTTTCAAAGTTCTTGAAATGTTCCATATTGACTGACCTTCATATCAAGTAATGATGGACTGTCGTTTCTCTTTGCTTATTTGAGCTGTTCGTGCCATAACATGGACTTGGTCTTTTACCAAATAGGGCTATCTTCTGTATACCCCCCCCCCCCCCCCCCCACACACACACACACCCTACCCTGTCACAACACAACTGATTGGCTCAAACACATTAAGAAGGTTAAGAAATTCCACAAATTAACTTTTAAGAAGGCACACCTGTTAATTGAAATGCATTCCAGGTGACTACCTCATGAAGCTGGTTGAGAGAATGCCAATAGTTTGCAAAGCTGTCATAAAGGCAAAGGGTGGCTATTTGAAGAATCTCAAATATAAATTATATTTAGATTTGTTTAACACTTTTTTGGTTACTACATGATTCCATATGTGTTATTTCATAGTTTTGATGTCTTCACTATTATTCTACAATGTAGAAAATAGTAAAAATAAAGAAAAACCCTGGAATGAGTAGGTGTGTCCAAACTTTTGACTGGTACTGTATGTTGTTGTCACGATCGCTGACAGATGAAGCAGACCAAGGCGCAGCGTGATAGGCGTACATTCTTTGTTGTACTTAACACACGATCAAAACAATAAACCAAACGATACGTGAAGTCCTAGGTCATACACAAAACCTTACGGAACAAGATCCCACAATGACTAGTGAAAACAGGCTGCCTAAGTATGGTTCCCAATCAGAGACAACGAGCTACAGCTGCCTCTGATTGGGAACCACCCTGGCCAACATAGATCTAACCGATCTAGAACGAAAACCATAGCAAACAAAACATAGAAAATCCACACCCTGGCTCAACAATTAAGAGTCCCCAGAGCCAGGGCGTGACAGTACCCCCCCCCCAAAGGTGCGGACTGCGACCGCGCCAACCAAACACAAGAGGGTAGGGGCCGGGTGGGCATTCCGCCTCGGAGGCGGATCCGGCTCTGGGCGTGACCACCACACTCTCTCTACCCCCCCGTTGCGCCCCTGGTC